TCCTTGATGAAACATAGGAACCTTGTTTTATAACAGGCTTATTCAAAGTGATACAAGCTACAGAAGTGAGATCTAGGAAGGGTGTTGCTGTTTTCATAATGTAATAAAAATAATGTAATTATAAATAATTATAATGTGTAATAAGCATGTCATAAAAACAAACTTTATATTTCCAAGATCACTGCTTTTATAATGTATACTCAGGTAAAGGAGAAAATCCCTGGAAATATTCATTTTTAGGAGGGGTTTGCGAGACTTGACATTTTAGTGAAAGGGTTCACAGGTTGTTAAAGTTTGGGAACCACTGGGCTAGACCATCCCCGCAGTGGGGACTCATTGTTAAAGCGTGGACAATACATTCTGCAGGTGACAAAAGAACAGCAGGACTCTGTGCAGTCTCTTTGGAGTGAAGACAATACATGTCGCTTAAAGGTTGGATGGGATTTTGAAGACTTCAGGCAAGGATCCATTTGGCTATATACATTGACACTTCAGGGATCTTGTAAGAGAGTTTGAAGGAGGGGGAAGTACAGGTGATCTTCGAAAAGTTTCTTCCTGTTCCAAGAGCAATAGAAGATAGGCAACAGAAGATATTGGAGTTAAGCATTGTAGAGTACAGGGTTTCTGTTTTGTGGACCATGGGACCACCTTCTATCTGGAGAGGAAGTTGTATGTTTTGGACTATGGGTTTGAAAGGTGTAGCTTTCACTTGTCGGATGCCAAGTAGCCTTTTGTTTTAAAAATATTTTGTTTCAAGAAAGAAGAAATGCTAGGCCAGCTCTTCCTAGCTATTGCCAACTCAAGGTTGTGGTTTCCACTATTTAATCATGGGGGTTCTTTTACTTACCTTAGGGGACACCAGGATCAAGACCAAGCAAAATGATCACAATTAGTAACCATGGCTATTTTATTAAAGAAAGGAAAAGGAAACATTAAAAACACATGAGACAATGGTTACTTTGGTTTTTGTTTATGAAGAGGTGTACACTGTCAAGGGTGTAACCTGTTAAAAGCTCTCCACAGACACACATACAGAAGAAATAGTAACCAAAGTATATTGTTTCCTAAAATTGTGAATCCATTCTTTAATATATCCTTAGATACCTAGGAATATTTATGTGGGCAACAGTACTTCATTTCAGGGTAGACGGACCTGTTTGGTTATTAATGTATAACCACTCAGTTTACAGTTGGCAAAGTAATAGGTGTGACGGGTTGGATCACAGAAACCCCCTTGGGAGCTGCCACCCGATGTGCAAAGACTACCCCTGCTTCTGTTTTCCCTGCCAGCTCAGGACTCCAGCACCCTGTCTTGCTGAGCCAGACACTCCTGTTTGGCTCCAGACACAGACCCAGGGTCTGAATGACTTGTCCCAAAGCTGCAAGTTTACCCGAAAACAGCTCACAGTAGTGCGCTTGTCTCTAGCACTCAGATGCCCAACTCCCAATGGGGTCTAAACCCAGATAAATCCATTTTACCCTGCATAAAGCTTATGCAGAGTAAACTCATAAATTGTTCGCCCTCTATAACACTGATAGAGAGATATGCACAGTTGTTTGCTCCCCCAGGTATTAATACATACTCTGAGT